GGGGGGGGGGGGGCGTTGAAGGGGCACTGGCGGGGGTCAGGGTTCCTCGCACCGGCCGTCTGGGGGTCAAACCCCCACCCCGGCTGTAGCGATTTTCTGCGCATCCATAAGACAAACATCACGGTGATGACAGCAGTTTCTGGTTTTGTGCATGGTGCACAACATCTTGCTGGAAGTTGGCATCAAGTTGGCAAGGGTAAGTGTGTGAGGACACTACAGCCATGCAGGGGTGGGGTGCATATCACGACCGGCATGGTTCCACTTTTAAACACCGTGACATGGTTATAGTGGTTAAGAAACTTGGCTCTCGGTTAAATTCCTTTCATGCACGGACGAGGTCCAAGGCCAAAAAGGATGTACTGATTGTACTCTACTTTACAGGTGCATGAGAACCCCACCATCCAAGAAGGTCGGGCGTAGGAAAGGCAGAGCCTGTGCATGCGGTCTCACCGGCATAGGTGGGTCGTGGGGAGGTGATGCACTCCACGAACGGCTGAAGCATTCTCACATTTGTGTAGATGGTTTCTGGAACATGGCCTGAAACCTAACCTTCAAGTTTCATAAAATCAGGCAATGACGCCGTTCCCACAGTGTGTCATTGCTCTGTTCACTGCAATTATGTGGGAAGGATGGCAATCATCGCCCTCCTTCGGATAACTTTTTTTCCTTTTTCTTTCGCGTTGGCAATCTTTAGGTTTCCCTTCCCTTTCGTGTTGCATAGTTTTTCTGCTTCTCTTGATTTGATGTTGCCAATTTTCCTTTTCTTTCGTGTGGTCTCGTCGTCATCCAATAACTGAAATGCAGGAATTGCATTGTCGCTTGTCGCTGTAAGGCCAATTTTATTACTTTCAAGGCCTTGTTCTTGCGTACTTCTTTTCTGGTTACCTTTCATTTATGACATATTCGAGAGCTGCAAAATGTATGTCGTTGAGATGGTGTTCATGCTCATTCCAAATATAGTGATGTGCAGTGGTCACAAAATAGTCATGGGTGGTGATTGTGTTGCGCAATCCGTTCACGAAAAGATTATCTAGATTTCGTGTTCTTTTTGTTGGTGAGATGCAAAACGACAATCACAACCAATTGCTATCGGTGTGAATCCAGATAACGACAAATGACATGCACATGCTTGAACAGAAAAATGATGAACAGACAGATCTTGATGCAGCAAATAGTCCCACATTGGTCGTGGGACATTAATGTAATTAAAAACACATACATCCATGTAAGCAGGCCGATATAGGCACCTATCTGTCTTCCAAAGAAATACTCGAAGTCACCAATGTGAATATGTTCTTGTCCATGTCGCTCGCAGTGCAGTGAACAATCCTAGCGGTTGTGAAAGTCACCTCCAAAACGCACGCATGCTTACTGACAATTTAATAATGCCATGCATGTGGACACACAACGTCGACGTGCAGATACACGAACATACGAACCCGACATCATCCTACCTAAACCTTCCATAAACCCTAACCCTGCCCGACACAAACCCCACATCATCCTGCCTATGTACAACACCTTCCATAAACCCTAACACTGCCCATCACAAACGTACACGTGCAGACAGACAAACCCCGCAACATCCTACCTATGTACAACACCAACCATTAACCTTAACCCTGCCCGTCTTCTTATTTTTCCTCCTCATCGAGGGATGCCCTGTCGGCAAGCCACTTGCCTCCTTAGCCTACGGTGTGAACATAGACCCGTGAACTGGTAGAACAACAACCCACCGGAAGCCCTTGTAAGGATGTAGTCAGGCATGTCTCCCAAGACCTTGTTGGGTGAGCCAATTCTTTCAAGGACAATATTCCGAGTGTAAGAATGTGGCCCCTGTACCCCCTTGTCCTGTTGCAGGCCGCCAAGGTCATGGTGAGGCAGGCAACATTAGATGTGAAAAAAACAGCCTTGTAATGCGATCGCTCATTGACGCCGCCCATCCTCGCTATGATTGTCACTAGCAATAGACAGTTTGCATCTGTGATCCTTGTCGGACTTCTCGCCCTCAAATGCGCATCATCCACTCTCCTCCCTGAGTATGACCACTTCACTGCAGGTGGTTGCCAGTTTCTCACCGTGGCTCCCTGGTATGACCCTAGGTCATTTTCATCGAGCGGATCCTCGATGAGAGCACCCATATACCACCATGGCAACTCCATCCCCGAAGTTCCTCATGTCCGCCATGACAGACAGATTGCCGAAAGATGACCACTCTGCCGCCTCCCATATGACCCATGCCATATCCAGGGCGAAGGACAATCCTTCATCCCATGACTGTGATATGCACTTGTCGTGTCTGCCATCGCCACTTCGTTGTTCCTCTGAGCGTGCGCACTGACGGGGTACACCTGCAGAGACTACAAAATTATCAGAGACTGTGGACGTGCACCACTGTTCATGCCCTTGGAGATGGCTACCAAGGGCTTCCTAGTCGTCTCCACAACCGTGCATACCTCCTGGTAGCTCCTGGCATCCCCTGCCGGCCTAAACACAATATCATCCACCCATGCCTCCGTCAACAGGTCAATGTTTGCAAGGGGTGAACTGCCAAGCATCCACCCATGTCCTACCACAGTCATTCTCCGCCACCTCCAACGCCAATGCTACGCCATCCCCCCTGCCATTCACTGCTGGTGCACTTCTTGCAACCAACATAACTCAGTTTTTCCTAGCACAGTCCTAAGGCATCTTCAGCGCCATCACCCCTCCCATTCACTGTTGGTGCACTTCTTGCAACTAACATATTTCTTGGTGGGATGGCAGGTTCCGTGCAGGGCCAAATGGTGTCCTTCCATGCTGAGACTAACATGGTCACGCATTGCTGGGTCCAGGCCTCAACATATGCTACACCCTCAGGTATATATTTGATAATAGGGGACTAAGGCCGAAGGGCCGCCTCCTGGCACCTACGGTCGCCTCTTCAATCTTTCCATGTGGCATCTGAAAAAAAGCTTGTATCCCACAGCAGATTAGTTTGAGAAACCGTTTATCTCCAATGTATTGTGGGGGTCCCCCTTTGCCCACTGCTGCCCCGCAAGGTTCAAAACTTCATTATGAATGCGATTGGACCTTCTCCAATTCCCCTCACAGCAGCTCCCCCCCCTTTGCATGTCTACTGGTAAATGTGTTGGTGAAGGGTTTGGCATGGCGTGGCAGGTGGCCCTCAATCTTCCCCCATAAATCGAAAGCGGTAGTAGCATCCTCATGTGGAACAATGTCCCTCCCAAAACCGAGAAGCGGCTGCGTTGATCCACCCCGTGCCTGAATCACCTCCAAACATCACTGCTCCATGTGGCCATCTATGGAGACCACTATCCAATGTGCCCCCACCATTTCATATCTAATCTCCTTTGGTTTCCGCAACTGACCATGAGCACTCACTCCCTCTCCCCCTCGCCTTTTGTTGTTGTCTCTCTTCCCATTCCTCCCAACATCGGAAGCTCCTACACAGTTCGACATGTGTGTGTGTTGTCATGTTGGCATGAATTCCAAAGCTGGAGAGCTTGGTATTCACAGAGTGCTGGCCCTGGACTGCACCGCTGTCCACCTCCGGCATGTGAAACTCCGGCCGGCAGTTCATTCAGGGAGGCAGTTTTTTTTAGGCAGTTTTCTCGATATCCCACAGGCAAGCTACGTTCACTTTGTTTGGAACGTCCGAAACTTTTGGCGTCGGCATGGTGGGAGATGGGTCGCCCCCCCCCCCCCCCCACACACACACACACTCATGTGCTTTTTTTTCATTTTTTTGTTTTCGATTGATTGATTAATTGATTCATTGGTGGGAAATGGATCGCCCACCACGTGGGCGCCATGACAGCCAGACGGGGGGCAACCCCAACCACTAGAAAGAAAAAAGAAAAAAGAAAAAAATATATATATATATATATCGTCACAAATATATATATACATATATATCGTCAAATAGAATATATATATATATATATATATATATATATATATTGATTGATTGATTGATTGGTATATATTGATTGATTGATTGATTGGTGGGGGAGGGCTTGCCGCCCCCCCGTTACCCTCACACACACACACACACACACACACACACACACACACTTTTTTTTTTAACTTGTTTTTTTTCTTTTCAAAGGATTGATTGATTGATTGATTGGTGGGGGAATGTGTCGCCCTTTCCCCTGTCTCCTCCAACACCCCCCCCCGCACACACACACACACCCATGCGCTTTCTTTGATTGATCAATTGGTGGCAGATGGGTCGCCCCAACCCCCCGCCACACCCCCAAATCACACATACACACCTAGCTTTCCCGGGGCGCCCGGCCGGGGGCCCCGGGCGCCACACCCAGGTAGGGGCCACGCCTGGGGTACCCCGGACATGCAAAAAATGCAGTGATTTTTTTTTTTTTTTTCCGACTTCGGCACCTTGTTGTGCGTTCTGAGTGCTGCTGATATCCAGCCCCGTTTTCAATTTTCATGCATATTGCGGGAGGGAGGAGGGAGCGAGGAGGAAGGACTACGGCGGGAGGGAGGAGGGAGGAGGGAGGACTATGGCGGGAGGGAGGAGGGAGGACTATGGCGGGAGGGAGGAGGGAGGACTATGGCAGGATGGAGAAGGGAGGGCTATGGCGGGATGGAGGAGGTAGGACTATGGTGGGAGGGAGGAGGAGGAAGGAATGGAAGAGGAGGGAGGGGGGGGGGGGGGGGGAGGAGGGGGGGGGGGGGGGGGGGGTAGGGGGGGAGGGGGGAGGGAGGAGTATGGTGGGAGGGGGCAGGAGGAAAGGGTGCCACGTCGAAGGAGGGAGGAGGGAGAAGGGAGAAGGGAGAAGAGAAGCTATGGTGGACAACGAGGGAGGGAGACAATCTGGCGGGAGGGATAAGGGAGGAGTATGGTGGGAAGGAGAAGGCAGGAGGGGGATGAACGAGGGAGGAGAATGGCGGGAGGCGGGAGGGAGGAGTATGGCGGAATGGAGGAGGGAGGAGTATGGCAGGAGGAAGGAGGAGGGAAGGGTGCCACGTCGAAGGAGGGAGGAGGGCAAAGGGAGAAGAAAAGCTATGGTGGACAGCGAGGGAGGGGGACGATCTGGCGGGAGGGAGAAGGGAGGAATATGGCGGGAGGGAGGAGGGAGGAGGAAGGCTATGGCAAAGGAGGAGAGAGGGAGTCTATGGAGGGAGGCAATGGAGAGGAGAGGAGGAGGCCGGCGGAGGGAGGCGATGGAGAGGGGTGGGGAGGAGAGAGGGAGCCTATGGCGGAGGAGGGAGTCGAAGGGTGCTGAAGAGCCGAGGAGGAGGGAGGCAATGGAGAGGAGAGGAGGAGGCCGGCGTAGGGAGGCGATGGAGAGGGGTGGAGGAAGGCGATGGAGAGGGAGGAAGGAGGGGCGCTATGAGAAAGGAGGGAGCAGGGGGGCTATGGCGACCATTCACGTAGGGGTGGTGGGGGCCTATGGCGGAAGAGGGAGGGCGGGCGTCATGGAGAGGGGAGGAGGAGGGAGGCGATGGCCCCCCCTGAAGGAAAGAGGGAGGAGATGGGCGCCACAGAAGAAGAAGAAGAAGAAAGACGAAGAAACGAAAAAGATGAACAAGAAGACGAAGAAACGAAAAAGATGAACAAGAAGAAGAAGAAACGAAAAAGAAAAACACGAAGGAGAAGAAATTAACAAGAAAAAGAAGAAGTGACTAAGAAGTAATGAAAAAGAAGAAGATACGAAGGAGAAGAAACTAACAAGAAGAAGAAGTGACATAGAAGTAATGAAGAAGAAGTGACGAAGAAGTAATGAAAAAGAAGAAGAAAAAACTAAGAAGAAGAAGAAGAAGAAGCGGCGAAGAAGGAATGAAAAAGAAGAAGAAGAAATGAAAAAGAAGAAGAAATGAAAAAGAAGCAACGAAGAAGAAGAAGAAGAAGAAGAAGAAGAAGAAGAAGAAATGAAAAGAAGGAAGAAGAAACGAAAAAGAAGAACAAGGAACGAGAAAGAAGAAGAAACAAAGAAGAAGAAGAAGAAGAAGAAGAAACGAAAAGAGGAAGTAGCGGAAGAAGAAACGAAAAGGAAGAAGAAGAAAAAGAAAGATAATCAAAGAAGAAGAAGAAGAAGACGAGAAAAAACAACGAAAACGAAGTTCGAGCCTTTGTGGGGATGGCGTGTGACAGTCTTCGAGGAAGGGAGGATGATGACGACAGGGCGGCCACAGGTCGACGACGATGGCAGCAGCAGGACGACGACGATGGTGCGGCGGTAGGGCGACAACGACAGCAACGAGAGTGGCGCGTGGCGGAGGGCCAGAGGGTGGAGGGCGGAGGGCGGAGGGCGGAGAGCGGAGGGCGTGGTGAACGGGGTGAGGCAGACCGGCCCAGGATTCAAATTTGAATCCTGGGAGCTACGCGCGCCGCGGATCATCGATGATCGACGGCCTAGATCAAACAAAAAAAAACTTCTCAAAAGGGGCCTACCAGGCCCCGAAAAATAGCGCGCTGCTAGCCAAAAAAAAAAATTGGCCCGTGGGCTGTCCGCCGGCGGCACGAAATAAAATTTCTTAAAGGCCGTTTTGGATACGGCGCTGAGGAGGCCCCGATGCCTGGCAGGGGCGGTTGCACGGCCGAGCGCCCCGAGCGCCATTC